TAAAGTAGAGGGTCAGAGAAAAAGTGGAAGACCCTCAACGAGATGGACTGACACAGTGGCTATAACAACGGGCTCAACCATAACAAGGATTGTGAGGATGGCGCAGGACCGGGCAGTGTTTCGTTCTGTTGTACACAGGGTCGCTATGAGTTGGAACTGACTCGATGGCACCTAACACAACAATAAAATAATAACACGTGAGGAACACGCTTCTTAGTTCAATCAAGTATACGAGAAACTAAATGGGTAATACCTGCCCAAAGCCAAGATGAGAAAACAGGGACAGGAAAACTGGATGAATGGACACAGGGAGCCTGCGGTGGAAAGGGAAAGGGGGAGAGTGCTGACACATTGCAGGGATTACAGCCAATGTCACAAAACAATTAGTGTATAAATTTCTGAATGAGAAACTAATTTGTGCTGTAAACTTTCACCTAACACACAATAAAATTTTTAAAAAAACTAAGACTCCTCCCTCCCAAAAAAAACAACGGATGTAACTGCCACATTAACAAAATAAAGGAGAAAAATCTTATGATCCATCTCAATAGACGCAGAAAAAGCATTCAGAAAACGAACATGCAAACTACAAACTGAGAGAAAATATTTACAACACATATATCTGACAAAGGACTTGTATCCAGAATATATAAACAACTCTCAGTACTCAATTATAAAAAGCAAAACAACCCAGTTATTTAAAAAAGGGGAGGTGGGGTGGGGCAGCAGGGTGCAAAAGACTGACAAGGCATTTCACCACTGACGAAGACACGTGAACGGGCAATAAGCAGGACGAAAAAGTGCTCGAAATCATCAGTCATCAAAACGGAAACTACAGCCGGCTGCCACTACACTCCCGCACCAATGGCTAACAAACAAACAAACTTCCCAAAGCCAAACGCTGGGGACGGTGTTGGGCAAGCAGGACTCTCCTACATCATTACTACTAACCAAGACAAAACCTGCTGCTGTTAGACCGAGAACAGAGTAGAACACCCCACAGGGTAGAACCCCCATAGGGTTTCCAAGGAGCAGCTGGTGGATTCAAACTGCCGACCTTTAGGTTAGCAGCCCAGCTCTAAACCACTGAGCCACTACGGCTCCTCATTACCACTGGGAGTGTGAAACGGGGCAACCACTTCGGAAATCTGTCCAGTACTTTCCTGTAAACCGGCAATTCTACTTCCAGGTGTACACCCAGTAGAAACAAAAACATATGTCCATAAAAACACTACTACAAGAATGTCACAGGTTTCTCTGAATAGCCCCAAACCGGGAACAACCTAAATGTCTATCAACAGGACATGAAAAACAGATTGTTGTGTGTCTCTAGGATGGAACACTGCTCAGCAATAAAGCGGAATGAAGGACTGCACGCCAACAACATGGATGGGCCTTCACAGCATCATGCTGAGCGTACGAAGTCACAGAAGCAGCCGTGCATGCTGTATGATAGCATGTAAGTGGCCTTCTGAAGCATGCATGACCAAGCCAACAACAAAAACTCAGACAAGTAGTTGCCTCTAAGGAGGCGGGGAAGTTGAATTGGGAAGAGGCACAAAGGACTTTTGGGGTCATGGAAATGTTCTATACTTTGACAGGAATGGGGCTACACAGATATATGCATTTGTTAAAAGTCATCAAACTATTTAAATATTATGTAAATATGCAAATTATGTCTCAATAAAAAAATGTTTAAAAAAAATCGAAGTCCAAAAGAGTTTATTCATAAGGGGTCAAATATACTTTATTTTGAAAGGAGATTAAAAAAAAAAAAAAAAGCTTGCGGGTAATTCTAATACCAGAGTTCTGTAGTCTTTAAAAAAAAAAGGCGGAGGGGTTGGAAGGTGAGAGGCTTATGTGCATCATTTGCCCAAATGACAGGTTTTAAACAAAAACATACTCTTCACACGTATCAAAAACCTTTGGGAAATCAAAATCTCAAGGAAACAATTAGTCCAAAGGACTAATGGACCACACAAACACAGCCTCCACTAGCCTGAGACCAGAACTACGTGGTGCCCAGCTACCTCTACCAACTGCTCTGCTTGGCATCACAGTAGAAGGTCCTGGACAGAGTGGGAGAAAAATGCAGAAGAAAATTCAAATACATAAAAAAGACGAGACTTACTGGTCTGATAGAGACTGGTGGGACCCGGAGACTGTGGCCCTTCGACACATTACAAACCTGGAACTGACCCCACTTCCGGAGATCCCCTTTCAGCCAAACAACAGACAGGCCTATAGCGAACAGTAACACCTGTGAGGAACGTGCTCCTCAGAACAATCAACCACACCAGACCAAAAGGGCAGCTTACACCCAAAAAACAAAGTTGAGACAGCAGGAAGGGGCAGAGAAGACGAGCGAATGGCAACGGGGAACTCAGGGAGGAAGCGGGTAGAGTGCTGTCACACGGAGAGGATCGCAGCTATGTCAGGAAACAAACTGTGGACAAACTGCTGCATGGGAAACTAACGTGCTCTGTAGACTTTCACCCAAACCACAATGAAATGTTCTAAAACAACCTCAGGGAAGGGGGAACAGACTCCTACAAACTCGAGGATTACAAATGCTGGGACGAAAAAAGATGCATAATATATTCATAACAAAAAATAGTGGTTAAAATGCCTTTGAGTTCCCCAGTATATAAATTAACCTGGCTATTCACAGGATGCTCATGTCAGATGGGATGCTGTCAACCTTTACTCATTACAGATTAATTCCAACATTGGTATACTAAAGAAGGCTCAAAGTGATCACAGTTAAATAAATAATTTAAATTACTAAAATGGATGGGGAAGAGAAGAAAAAACAAAAAAGGAAACAATTCGCTAAGCAAAGTCCAGAAGTAAATGCAAGACAAAATATGATAAAACTAAATTAAGAGCATAGTCTTACAGGATATGAAGAGTTTTGTCTATTGTAAATAACTCAAATAAAAAGAATGAGTTGAATAGTTTGATCCCATATTTACATACCTCTAGGCTTCAATTCAAATCAGCCTCAAATCACTGCCCTGGTGGTGCAGTGATTAAGTGCTCAGCTGCTAACCGAAAAGTCAGCAGTTCAAACCCACCAATCAATCCAAGGGAGAAAGATGTGGCAGTCAGCTTCCATATAGATTTACAGCCTTGGAAACCCTATGGGGCAGTTCTACTCTGTCCTACATGGTCACTATGAGTCAGAACCAACTGACAGCAATGTGTTTTGGGGTGCTTCAACTCATTTTTCCACAAAAACCACTGCTACAAGAAATATGTCTACCTGTGTTTTATTAACTACGCAAAGGTTATTTGACTGTGTGGATCATGACAAACTCTGGATAACATTGAGAAGAATGGGAATTCCAGAACACTTCATTGTGCTCATGAGGAACCTATATTAGACCAAGGGGCATTCGGCTTGAACAGAACAAGGGAATACTACATGGTTTAAAGTCAGGAAACGTGTGCGTCAGGGTTGTATCCTTTCACCATACCTATTCAATCTGTATGCCGACCAAATAATCCGGAAGGCTGGACTATATGAAGAAGAACGAGGTATCAGGATTGGAGGAAGACTCATTAACAACCTGTGATATGCAGATGACACAACCTTGCTTGCTGAAACTGAAGAGGACTTGAAGCACTTATTGATGAAGATCAAAGACCACAGCCTTCATTATGGATTACACCTCAACATAAAACAAAAATCCTCACAACTGGACTAATAAGCAACATCACGATAAATGGAGAAAAGATAGAAATTGTCAAGGATTTCATTTCACTTGGATCCACATTCAAGACCCATGGAAGCAGCCGTCCAGAAATCAAAAGACGCATTGCATTGGGCAAATCTGCTGCAAAAGACCTCTTTAAAGTGTAGAAAAGCAAAGATGTCACCTTGAGGACTAAGGTGAGCCTGACCCAAGCCATGATGTTTTCAGTTGCCTCATATGCATGGGAGCATGGGAAAACTGGACGATGAATAAGGAAGAACAAAGAAGAGCCGATGCCTTGGAATTGTGGTGTTGGCGAAGAATACTGAATACACGACAGACTGCCAAAAGAAGGAACAAATCAGTCTTGGAAAAAGTACAACCAGAGTGCTCCTTAGAAGCAAGGATGGCGAGACTTCATCTCACATACTATGGACACGTTATCAGGAGGGATCAGTCCCTGGAGAAGGACATCATGCTTGGTAAAGTAGAGGGTCAGCAAAAAAGAGGAAGACCCTCTACGAGATGAACTGACACAGTGGCTGCAGAAATGGGCTCGAGCATGACAATGTTCATGAGGATGGCCCAGGACCGGGCAGTGCTTCATTCTGTTGTGCACGGGGTCGCTGTGAGTCGGAACTGACTCAAGGGCACCTGACAACAACACTCTAATGCAGAAAAGAGGAGAGGGACGTTTTGAATCCAAGTTTATGTAAAACTACAAAGCTACCTTTTTTGTGTCATTAGATATGTATCTAGCATCGTTATTAAAAACACAATACATTATGGTTTAATTGATTCTACTTATCAAAGGAATCCCAGTGTGGTGCTAAAAGTTAAGATCAGCTGCTAATCAAAAGGTTGGCAGTTTGAGTTCACCCAGAGGTGCCTCAGAAGAAAGGCCTGGCAATCTACGTCCAAAAAATCGGTAATTGAAAACCCTACGGAGCACAGTTCTACTCTGACACACACTGGGTCATCATGAGTCTGAACAGACTTAGAGGCAACTGGTAAACCCAAATTCACTGCCGTCAAGTCAATTCTGACTCATAGCAACCCTAGAGAACAGAATAGAACTGTCTCACAGGGTTTCCAAGGCTGTAAATCTTTAGGGAAGCAGACTGCCACATATTTCTCCTACATAGCGGCTGGTGGGTTCAAATCACCGACCTTTCAATTAGCAGCCAAGCGCTTAATCACTGTGCCACCAGGGCTCCTGGTACTTATCAAAAAAAGGATGTTATCCAAAAAATAAAAAACACTACACTAAATCAAGACAAAAGGAAGAAATTATTTTCTTACCACTTTTGCAACACAGGGTGCATCACTGCCGACCGATTTTGAAGAATTCGTATCAGCTGTTTAAAAAAGTGAAATATTAAATATCAGAACAGAAGCAGCAGCATTATTATAAATAACTTATTATTAACCTTAATTAATATTAAGGTCTGTGCATCTGTAACCCCTTGAGAGAATAAAATTGTTTCCAAATACAAATCATTATAGTATATTTCATCAATTTTAAGATTTTTTTCATGTTTAACATATCTGAAATCGAAATGCATCTTATAAAGATATGCATCTTCAATTCACTCATCGGTTAAGTAAAGGAAACTCTGAGTTAAACAAAATTAAAGATTTCTTTAATTAAAAATACTAATAGCCTTTGCTATGCTAGTGCATATCATGAATTCCGAAGAGGAACATAGCTTAGACCATTTCTTAAATTTATGGACAATTTCTCAAAACTATGGAATCCTTTTAAGAAGAAGCATATGGAAGACAAAACAGAAAAAGCTAACATTCCAAAAGGTACTAGTTTGGGGAAAAAAAGCTCAGCATTGTGACACTAGAACTCTAAACTGTCATTCAGAACAATTTTATTGTGGCTGTCATTTTATTTCATTATGTCATTTTACTTCACATAAACAGCAAACCACAAATGCCCTGGCATACTGAGTTAGCAACATAAGGTTGCCCGAGTTCCCTGGACAAACACTTACCGAGTGCCTTCTCTAAGCCAGCCCCCAGAAAGTGGGGATCAGCAAAGAACAGAAGGAAAGGGTTCTTACTCTCCTGAAGCTAGCATTCCCTGGAGCGCACAGACAACAAACAAACGAGGAAATACAAAGTGTCTGATGGTGACAGTGACATGGGGGGAGATGAGGCAGGAAAGGGAGGGAGGCCGTGGGCAACACAGTGAGAGGGACTTCACTGCGAGGGTGTCGTATGAGCCGTGGTCTGAAGACGGCAGGAGGAGAACATTCCAGGCCGAGCAGCACACAGGCCTGACGTGGGAGCACGCTGGAGGAAAGTGAGGCCACAGCAGCTGGAAGAGCGTAAGTGAGGCGGAACTAACAGGAGACAGACCCGAAAGCTGCAGGGGACAAACAGGAGGAACTCAGCAGATGACGTAAAGGGTTTGACTGTTACCAGAATGAGCCATTAGAAGGTTCTGAGCAGAGGCTGACAAGACCGGACTTTGACTTTCAAAGACTTCTTGGAGCTGCTGGGGGGAGAACGGAGAATGGAGGTGAGGCAGAAGCAGTGAGGTCGGTTAGGAAGCTATCACAGTACTCCCGGGGAAGATGGTGACGGCATGAACCAGAGCGGCAGCAGACAGAGTGGCCGGGAGCGGTCAGACGGCAGACATATTTTCAGAGAGCAAACGGGATTTGCCGATGAACTGGGTAGGAGGCAAAAAGGCTGATCCAGGTTTCTGGCCTGAGCACCTGGAAAGAGGAAGTTGCCGATTACTGAGACAAAGAAAAGTGCAGGAGGGCTGGTGCTTCGGGCATCTCAAGTCAGGGGGGCTCACGGGACACCCAGGTTCAGACATTACACAGGCAGCTGGACATACGAGTCCTGAGCTCAGAAGAGTGCTCCAAGTTGCAAAAATAAATTCAAGAGCCATCAACATAGAGACACGGTTCACATAAGCCATGAGACTGGAAGAGGACGTCGAGGACGTGAATGGACAGAGAAGACACCCTCCCCGTGAGCCCCACAGCACCGTGACATCAGAAGCTGCAGAGATGGGCAGGACAGGAAAAAGAAACCAAGAGAACCACCAGTCAGGGGCGAAGCAACGGTATTTGGAAAGGGCTGCGGCTGAAACACTTCAGGCCAAAGGAGCCCCAAGTCGCAAAAATGGGGACAACGGGCAGATGAAGAGGTCTGAGCACCTGAGGAACAATGCTTAGATATTAATTTAGTAATAAAGCAGGTTTTTATGACTTTAATAGAGATTTTTTTAATAAGCATGTCAAACTCCAAACTCACTGCCATCGAGTCGATTCCAACTCATAGCGACCCTATAAGCATTTAGTATACAAAATACTAAAATGAAAATAGTATTTCAAATTAATATTGCAACATTCAAATGAGGAAAGGGGGAAAAAGAAAACCCAGTAATGCCTCCAAACAGTATCTACTGCAGAACACACCCGGCACTAGGACTACAACAATGCCCCATCCCTCAAGAAGCACACGCTTAGTCTGAAGGAGAGAGAAGTAACTTCACTGCAGTGCAGCAAGAATTACAAAAGGGTTAGCACAAGGGAACTATAAACACACAGTACCTGCCCCGAACTCGGCCTGGGGAAAATAAGGAAAAGCAGCAGCGGGGACAGAGATAAGAAGCAAAGCACAGCAGGAGGAGAGAAGGGGTGAAGCCACAAGTTACACAGAGACCAGTCCACAAGTCTGGGCTTTCCCCTCAGGGCACTGGAGAGCCATAAAGGAAGTTTACACAGGAGAGTCACCCGCTCGCTCTGGTGAGTAGGCAGTCACTCCAGCCACACTGCGAACAAGAGGATAAAAGGTAAGACTAGGCTAGGACCCAGGAGCAGGGAGGCTGCTGTAATGAGAATGCAGACAAGACATGGTAATGACCTGAATGAGAGCAGAGGCAACAAAGATGGAGAGGAATAAATGAGTCTGAGAAGGGACCAGACCAAGTGGGAGGGAGAGTGGTGGAGGGGCGCTTGAGAACGCCTTCCCGGTTCCTGGCAAACAGGTGCCGTTCGTTCTCTGCTAACACGAGAGGACCAGGAGATGGTCGAGGACACTCCACATTGCACATGTGCCTGTGGACGTCCACGTAGAGATCCCAGTAGCCTCTGGCTATGGTCTGGACGCTGGGAGCAAGTCCAAGGCCACGGGCAAAAGCAAACGTGACCTGCCCTACATCACTCTTTATATTCCTGATGATGCAAGCAGCTTTAGAAGCAATCAGGTAAGAGTTTTTTAAATTAATAATTTAGTTTGAAGCCTACAGAATCTCAGGGTTCTAGAGTGCCCCCAAAATTTCAGAAAGAGTATGCAAACTGATAGTACACTTAGTCAGGCCTAATATCCAGTTTCTGGGTCATTCTCCTAATTCTACTAGGATGAGTATTAAGGTCAGAGAGAAAAATAAAAAATTCCACATCTGTAAAAAATCTGAAAGCTTCCAAATTAGACACATACCATGGGAATAAATCCCAGCTGAGTGGTGGAGGAGGAGGAAAGAAGTGCGAGGCTTGCTTTGGGTCTTGAAAGAGGCTAAGATTATACAGAAGATTTTAAAATCTCAAGACAGCGCTCACTAATGACTGTGTTACGAACATTTGGCCCCTTTGTGATGAAATCAACAATCTCCTTTTCCACTCCTATATCAAAAGTTCATTTCTGTTTAGTCACAATATTAAGCTGACTGTCAATTATTAAGAACATCCTGTTAATAGCTCATAATTGAGAAGCCATTTTGATAAGGAAGCATACAAACCTTTGGATTAACAAAAGCAGCCACACACTTACCAAGATATATACACCCAAAGCCACCCTGGCCAATGGGTAAGCCCAGTTTCCACTCCTTTTTGGTCATGTCAGTTATTATCTCCCCAGCTGCAAACTGCTCTGCAAGGCGTCTCTTTGCAGGACCTGGTTTTCCAGCTTGCGCTGCTTTTACACGAGGCATCCTCACTATCATACAAAACAAAGCAACAGTCACAATACAATCCTACAAGTGTTCTGGCAACCAGTGTCACAAAACAATCTGTGTACTAACTATTTAATGAGGAACTAATTTTCTATGTAAACTTTCACCTAAATCATAATAAAAAATAAAGTACATCAAAAGCATTAACAAAAAAATAATAATCCTACAAGTGTTCAAAACATGTTTCCCACTGGAAAGCTTCTGTGCACAGAGATGCTGTTCAAATTCCTACTTACTCCAAAATGTAAATAAAAGACATGTTAATTCTGTTAATTCCATTTATGTTAATTCCATTTCAAATGGCTTAAATGCCATTTGATTAACTCTAAATGTTGAAGGAGACAGTAAATAAAATACTTAATTTTAAGTTCCAGTAGTACAATACCATCTATAAAAATAATATTAAAAAAAGAATTGCTCTATGAAGTTGAGGGGTAAAGTGCATCCCATTAGAGTGCACACTTTATACCAATCTGATGAGGAGTTTATAAAGGTCAATACTGATATGGTAAGTACATATTACAAAGAAAAGTAAAACACAAAACAATTACATACAAAGAGAAAACGAAAGGGAAGTTATGGCACGATGCTAAATGCTTCACACGTAGGTTCCTATCCATCCTCACAACTCTGTGACGATTACATTATCATCCCCACTTCAGAGACGAGGAAATTAAGGCTCCCTCGAGTTAAGTAACTTGTCCAAGGTTATATATACAGCTAGGAAGCAGTGGAACTTCAGCGTCAACAGAGATACCAGACTCCAAACAAACAAACAAAAAAGGTGACTTTCATAGCTCTGGTATTGAAAGAAATACCCAATACCCGTAACACTTTCAAACACTAAAATGGATGCTTTCTAAATTATATCCAACTTTATCAAATAAACAGAGTAATTTCCTATTCGATTATTCCCTTATAGTAATCAAACCCCTTGCTATCGAGTCATTTCCACCTCATAGCAACCCTACAGGATAGAGTAGAACTGCCCCATAGAGTTTCCAAGGAGCGGCTGGTGGATTCGAACTGTCGGCCTTTTGGTGAGCAGCCGAGCTCTTAAGCCCTGTGCCATCAGGGCTCTTTACAGTAGTCGAGGCAATTTAAAATGAGTTTGTTTGTTTTTTTTAATTATCTTTCTGTAACTCAAAATAGTGATTATACTACCTTTTGTATTTTTCTGGAATTCCTTTCCAGAAATGACAAAAATACCATAGCTTAAATTTTCTGGCTCTGCTTCTACGTAACATAAATCATACTCAATAAAAAGTGCTTTTCCTCCAAATTAAGCTGTTTGCCTTTATTCTTAGTTTTATGCCTACAGCCAATTAATTAAAATGAACTGTATTAATTAATTACGGATTGGAGTGACCTTGTTTCTTTCCTAGAGTTCCACAGAATGAGAATCACACTGTCAGTCTACTGAACGTTCTTAAAAATCACTGCTCCTGAGGGTTAACATGAAGATGGCAGAGGGTGCAGCACAGGTTTTCAATCTCCCTGAGCTCCCCCCCCACCCCCACCTCCACAATGAAAACGGACAGGGCAACTGGAAAGCAAAACTCAAAACCCATGGATAACATCTGTAACAGAACTAGGGGACCCATACCCCCTATCTCCACAAACCCCAACATCTAAGTGCGTAAAGAAGACAAAGCGCAGACAGCTCAAAGGTCTACGGGGTACCAACAACTGAGAAAGAAACAGCAGAAGGGAGTAATGGGGCTTCTGATGAGCCCAAGAATCTCAAAATTATCAGTAAGTGCTTATTAGAAAGCACAGAAGACAACGTGAGAACAGTAGCTGAAAGGAGCAGGGGTTGTCCACACTCCCAGGGTAGGTTAGAGAAGGGCCGTGCTATGGTGTAAAGGGACTGGAGGAGAGTGGGCGCCACGATTCTCAAAACTAACCAGGGTCCCCTGCCCAGAAAAAGTCTCACACTCAGCAGAAACTGCAGGGAATGGAATGCAATTGAGCATCACGGGATAACAAAAACAAGGGAAAAGAGTTCAGGTAAAAGCGGCCGTAGGAAAGTTAGCATCCACACTCAGGAACGCTACACGAAAACAAATGAAGGAGCTCTGTAAAGCCTGCCAGGTCGCACCATTTGAAACCAAAGGCACAGAGAAGAAAATGACGGCATACAAAACTCAGCAACAGCATCAGAAAGTGACCAAGGTCCACTCTCATACAAAGTTGAGACACACATACAGATATGTACACACATATATACGGAGAAAAAAGGTATGAAATAGAAAAGACGGACACGAATCAGAACTCTCTGAAAAAACACTTAAATCAGGTGATAGAAGCCAGGAAAGAATGAAAAATAACAAAATCAGTTTGGAAATGAAGACTAAATTAGAAAAAAAGGCTGAATAAACTAAAATAATAAGAATAATAATGACTTAAGGAGAAGGAAAACCTTTTAAAAAATCAAAAAGGAAGGAAGATAAATATTTCAAAAGGAAATCACAAATTTAAGAAGCTAGGGAAAGAAAGGAGAGCGCAAAGAAAATCAAAACAAGCGAACAAAATACTAAAAATGCTTTGATTCAAGAAAACTTCCCTGAACTAAGAAAAAAAAAAAAAGTACATAGAAAAGAACACACCATACATGAAGAAAATCCACTCAGAATATCGAGGCACGGTCTAGTAAGATTACTAGACCTCACAGTAAGAGGAAACATTCTTTGAGCAGCGGGCAAAAAGGAAAAAAGAAGAAACAGCTTATCTTACAGGAAAATAAAATTATATTGTCATCACACTTCAACAGCTACACTTTATGCCAGAAAAAAAGAAAAAGAAAACCATACTTACAACTCAAGGAAAGAAAACACGAGCGAAAGACGTCATACCCAGGTAAATTTCAAGTATAAAGACTGCAAAGTGTTCTCAACATGAAAAAGAGGAATAAGAAACTACTAGAGAACAAGCTTGGAAGACGGTCCCACCCTAATCAAAGATGAGCATCAATAAAGACAGTAACCACAATGGATTAAAATACATAAAATGGGAAAAGTAAGAATTCTTAATAGTAAAGAGAAGAAAATCTTTCCTGTATGAATTGTACCACTGGGTCACCAAATGAGAAACAAAGGGGAAACTTCTTCTTAAAGAAATTTTTCAGCTAATACATGAAGAATGGTTTTATATTATTATCATTTGTTGTTGTTAGGTATTGTCGGGTCGGTTCCGACTCACAGCAACCCTATGTACAACAGAATGAAACAGTGCCCAGTCTTTTGCCATCCTCACAATTGTTATGCTTGAGCCCGCTGTTGCAGCCACTGTGTCAATCCATCTCGTTGAGGATCTTCCTCTTTTTCACTGACCCTCTACCAAGCGTGATGTCCTTCTCCAGGAACTGGTCCCTCCTGACAGCATGTCTAAGCTATGTGAGACAAAGCCTTGCCATCCTCACTTCCAAGGTACACTCTGGTTGTGTTTCTTCCAAGACAGACTTGTTCACTCTTCTGGCAGCCCACGGTATATTCAATGTTCTTCACCAACACCATAATTCAAAGGCATCTATTCTTTCTTTGGTCTTCCTTATTCATTGTCCAGCTTTTGCATGCATAGGAGGTAACTGAAAACATGATGGCTTGGATCAGGCACACCTTAGTCCTCAAAGTGACATCTTTGCTTTTAACACTTGAAAGAGGTCTTTTGCAACAGAATTTGCCCAATGCAATGCATCTTTTGATTTCCTGACTGCTGCTTCCAAGGGTATTGATTGTGGATCCAAGTAAAATGAAATCTCTGACAATGTCGAGTTTTTCTCCATTTATCATGATGTTGCTTATTGGTCCAGTTGTGAGGATTTTTGTTTTCTTTATGTTGAGGTGTAATCCACACTGAAGGCTGTGGTCTCTGATATTCATCAGTAAGTGCTTCAAGTCCTCTTCGATTTCACAAGCAAGGTTGTGTCATCTGCGTATTGCAGGTTGTTGATGAGTTTTCCACCAATTCTGATGCTACATTCTTCTTTATATAGTTCAGCGTCTCGGATCATTTGCTCAGCATACAGACTGAACAAGTATGGTAAAAAGGTGCAATCCTGATGCACACCCTTCTTGATTTTAAACCATGCAGTATCCTTGTTCTGTTCAAACGACTGCCTCTTGGTCTATGTACAGGTTCCTTTATGAGCACAATTAAATGTTTTGGAATTTCCATTCTTCACAATGTTATCCATAATTTGTTATGATCCACACAGCCAAATGCCTTTGCATAGTCAATAAAACACAGGTAAACATCTTTCTGGTATTCTCTGCTTTCAGCCAAGATCCATCTGACATCAGCAATGATATCCCTCGTTCCACATCCCCTTCCGAATCTGGCTTGAATTTCTGGCAGTTCCTTGTTGATGTACTGCTGCAACTGCTTCTGAATGATCTTCAGTAAAATTTTACTTGTGTGTGATATTAATATCACCATTTGCAGCCACTAATGAGCTAATGGATACAAGCGTGGAGCACTGATGGCTACTAATATTAAAATACAAGAGATGTGGAGACATTATATGCCTCCTACAAAGAATACACCAAAGAGCCCTGGTGGCTGCTAACTGAAAGGTCCGCGATTCAAACCCACCCAGTGGCTCTGTGAGAGAAAGACCTGGCGATCTGCTTACAGCCAAGAAAACCTTATAGGGTAGTTCTACTCTGTCACATGGGGTCGCTATGAGTCAAAATCAACTTGAAAGAATCTAACAACGACAAAGAATACACTACTACCCATGAAATAGTCCCGTCAAAGAATAAATAAAAATAAATCAAACCGGAATCTAAATCAAGCCTACCAATTTACAGCTACACAGAGAGAATGCAATCAGCAAAATTCTGATGAAGAAAATACTACAGGACATATAATCCCATTTCTTCAACAAATAAAGGGAAAAAAGAAGGGATGGAGAAGAAAACTAAACTTAAAGACTTAAAACAGTATATCTGAAACAAAACAAAACCAGGCAAATCTAAATGAC